TGCTGGGGTAATAATAGTTGTAAAGCGCATAGAGCATGCTCTTGAGCATGGATATGCGCTATATAAATGCAATTATTATTATTATGAAGTCAGTCTTAGCGGTTACAGTGCCCAATGCTGTTACGTGTGTTGCCGCTGCCACTGGCAGTCACAGCATGTAGAAGACAAAGTACATGCAAACATCTGGGAGGAGATTTGGTATTTGTTAGTGATTGTTAATACATTTTGGCTTAGTTTCCCCTTTATCGAGCCGACTCAAATAAATTATAATTAACAATAATGGAAGGGAAGTAACCATGTTAAAAACTATTGACTGTGACAGCCACACGAAGAGTTGTCTTACTTGTTATGCCTGCACACAACGATAAGGACAAGGGCGAGCACTATGGTGAGGAGGAGAAGGGAGACAAGCAGAATCCACAAGATGGTGACGTAAGTCTCGTTGTCCAAGATGCTTCCTTCATTGCCGTCCTGACCACTGGGCTGGTAGAAACCGCCGCCTTGGATGCCTGACCAAGGAAAGAGAGATTGGTTTAGTTTTAGTAAGAGTTTGTTTTGTTTTAGTAGAGGTTTTACGGCGCTCGCAACTGCCAGAAGATTAGAGGTGTTACAAGAGAGTAACAAACATAAAAAAGAAAGAGGGGAGATAAGGACGATAGATGTTTGATAGAAAAGAAGAAGCAAACCACACCAGAGCACCCGCCAACCACCCACAGTAAGAGTTTTGCGGCGCTGGCAACTGGCAACACATTACGGTCACATAATAAGTGCCCAACATTAGAGGTGTTACAAAAGAGTAAGAAACAAAACATAAGGAGGAGAGATGGGGCTGATACTGATAGATGTTTGTTAGGAAAGAGGGAGCAAACCACACCAGAGCACCCGCCAGCCACCCGCAAAGAGAGAGATTACATTAATTATGCCCATTAACATGGCGAAGATAAGAGTTATAATCACGATGCACACTATTGCTTTTAACTCTTGAGGACGCACTTCTTGTCTCTCCCAACGCTTAAGACGCACTGTTCAATATCACTTTAAACAAAAGAAGAACGACTGCGAAATTCCTGCACATTTTCCAATGAGACTTTCTTTAATTTAGAAAGTCAAAACGGCAAACTACACAGCACATATAATAATAATAAGTTTGAAAATGCGTGCTTCTGATTTGTGTTGTATAGTTCAGAACAATATGTCACAACACGGCATTTGGTCTACTTGATTAGATATTATAGTTTCTTCTTATAGTTGGGTATTTTTTTCATCAACAGCAAGACAAACGAATTAGATACAAATTGTACTAATAACTATAATAACTCTATGTGCCACCAAATTGACGAGCGCCTGATTCCCCCCGTGTTGCTACACAAACCATGACAAACAGACTCACCAAAAGGAATATCTCCCTTGATGCGAGTCACATTCACTTTCTCTCCCTCTCTCTTCATGCTCGGCTCAACAAATTTAGCACTAAGTGGGTCCTCCAGATCGTCCATGTCACCCTCCAGCCCCCCACCGCCCACATAGTGGGCCAGATCTTCGTCTGCGCTGGAGGCCGGGGTTGTAGTGGGCTCAGCGGTGGTGGTTGGGAGGATGAAGTCGTAGCTGGCGTGGAAGCCCGTGCGCTGCATGTAGCTGTCTGTGCGGAAAGTGACGAGCAGCATGTTGTTGCTGGACACTATGGGGGCGGGGCTCTCGTGCTGGCAGAACCTGTGGCGTGACGGGGAGGGGGGAGGGGGGAGGGGGAGAGGTTTGTTAGTTCACTTTGGATATTGTACTAATTTAGTTTTGTTTTCGATTCGTCGAATTTTGTCTTCATACCTTTTTTTCTCCTCTACTGTCTGTCTGTCTGTCTGCCTGTCAGTATGTCTGTTTGTCTGTCTGTCTGTCTGTCTGTCTGTCTGTCTGTCTGCCCCCCCTCCCCCCTCTATCTATTTCTCTCTTTCATTGTATCTTCTTCTCTCACCCTGTCAGCTCGGTCACTGAACCTGTTTCTATACTTGATAAATTTAAAACAAGCGAGAGTGAGACAGAGGAAATCCTTAACAACGAACCAAGTCGGATCTCCTTACCGAGAAAGTTTGTTGGATGAGGTGGAGGGTCCGTCATAAACATCAATGACGTCATGCTGGTCAGTGCAGGGTGTGAAGGCTTGACCGTCCAGGTCAATGGTAGTAAACCTCAGACTCACTTGGCCGTTCTCGGGAGCCTGCATAGTTGAGTAAGGTAAACGATGTACACTACTTGTATAATTATGGTTATGTCGCTCCGTTTTTAGTAAGAGTTTTACGGCGCTCCCAATTGCATACGGTCATATGAGCGCTATGTCGCTCAGCCCTGCATATTGCGCACGAAAATATAAAAAACAAACAACAAAAAAACAACAAAAAACCCCCAGAAACTAACCCAAACCAAAATACAGCCTGCAACTTAATTCTCTTTAATATACTATGTGAATAGATTTTTTAAAATAGCAAAGAAAACGAACAAACAGACACAAAATAAAGAAACACCCACATGAATAGACAAACAGACAAAATAAACAACAAACAAACAAACAAAACAAAACAGCATTGACAACGATAACATAACAATAAGAGGAAGAACAATATTAATTATACAAATAAAATGTCACGCACTATTCAATGTCCTGACAGTAGCATGCAGATTCACCTAGCTCTTTTCTCTGGGACAAAGACGGGTTAACTCATGAAGACAGTCGGAGAGAGAGAGAGAGAGAGAGAGAGAGAGAGAGAGAGAGAGAGAGAGAGAGAGAGAGAACAGAAACAGAAAAAGAAAACGACAAACAATCCAACTAAAGAAAGAACGAAAGGTAAACAAGTAAAAGAAAAAACAGAATACGAGAAACGAACCATAAAAAAATTAAGAAAAAAAAGTACTGCATAAAAGAAAAAAGTAACGCTATACGACAAACAAAAGAAAGAAAACAATAAAGAAAGGAAGGAAAAAGGAGAAAAAAAAAAGGAAATGGAACACAACTAGGAAACCAAACAAACATAACCAAAAAAAAAAAATACAAAGGAAAAAGAAAATGTATTACAATAAAAAAACCAACAACAAACAAACAACCCCCCCCCCACAAAACGAAACCAACCAAAGGATGGAGAGACTCTAGAACTGTGTGAGTTGGCCAGTGTGCCCCCCCCCCAGAAATAAAATCGAAGAAAGCAAACTGACCTGTATAGTCCAGACACAGTCCAATCCTGGCGCGTACTGCTCCGGCCACTGTGGGGAGGCCAGTTCTCCGCGGTCTCGCTTCAGGAGGGCCCGGCACGGCCAGTCTACGGGGGAGTAGGGATGATTGTCATGATTGCATTGATTGCATTGGTTGTATTGCTTGTACTGATTATCATGATTGTATTTTAGTTATTTGTAGTAAGAGTTTTAAGGCACTTGCAACACGATAAGGTCATATAAGTGTCGAAGAATAGATGTCACAAGAGAGTAACGTACACACAAAAGGAGGAGAGATAAGGACGACAGATGTTTGATAGGAAAGAGGGAGCAAACCACACCAGAGCACCCGCCAAACACCCACTGTCATGATTGTATAGCTTGTATTGATTGTTTGATAATACTGATCCTACAGATTGTCATGATTGTGGTCATTGAACAGCTTATATTGATTTGTTATGATTGTACTGATTGTAGTAATTATGATGATTGTAATGATTATATCGATCGTACTGATTGTTTTGAAGTGTCATGAATGTGCTGATTACTCTGAGTGTATTTAATTGCCATACTTGCACTGATTGTATTGATCGTATTGATTGTTACAATTATGCCAATTGAACTGATAGTATTTGAGTGTTATAGTACTGATTATTCAGATTGTACTGATAGAAATGATTGTAAGGATAATATTAATTGTACTGGTTATATTAATTGTGCTGTTTGGAATGACTGTAATGATTTCATATAAATAATAATACATGCATATAGTATACATGCACATAAATATA